TTTAACGCATCATGAAAACGCTGGATGATTTGCCATCGAAAGTTCTTTGGCACTATGACGCGACTGTAAGTCTTTCCGTTCAACTGAAAATTTTGTACAGCAAATTATCTTTTATCGTGAATGTTGATCGCAAAGTAGCATCAATCGTATCGTTTTCGATTGATTCAATCGTTTGACCAAAATGTTTGATTGCTTTGAACACAGCAAGCGTTTCAAGCTCAAAGCTGTGATACCTGCTTTCTACATCGGTTATTCGCTGACTAACGGCATTTTCAGGTATTCCTAGACCCCGTCTGGCGTTATGAATGCGGTATTTTCAACAGACTGAGGTGCCATCGGGATCTGGTGAAATCCAGAGGCCATATCAAGACACGTAAAATAATTAGACTATCCTAGCATCTATTTGTTCAGATATGAGAGGTAATGGGTAACTATCACGGACTGTGTTTGAGTTTAACTCCCTATAATCGACACATAGCCGATCGGACCCGTCCTTTTTCTTGACGAGCAGGACAGGGCTCGAAAATGGAGATGAACTTTCGCGAATATAGCGAAATACCCTTAGACTTTAAATCGACTATTATACCCCGAAGCGAGGTGCGTTCAGCGGGTGCTAAGCGATAGGGATGACGCTGGACAATTTTGTCTGGAACAAAACTAGTCTTAAATTCATGTAAAATTTGTGCAAGTTTATTTTTGTGTTCAGTTAGAGTCAAATCAGTGTCAATATTATTAATGTCAAAATCAGGTATCGTTTTAGTAGTATCCGTAATAACAAAAACTTCGCGCGTGATGTTTAATCCCAGACTGTTGAGTTTCAATTCTAAACCAGTACTCTTAAAATTTTCCCTACCTAGGATAACATCGTAAGGCAAGGAATCTGTGATATGAAAGGTAACTTCAGCATGGATCCCATCATACACTTCTACATTTGTAGTTACTTTTTGAAAGGAGTAACACGAAGCAAAGCCAATACCCGTGAGGCGGGCGAACTCGAATTCTCTTTTGTCCGGTATACAATCAGCAATAGCAGTCTTAATTAAAGAGCATTCGGCACCGGTATCTAACAACGCTTGTAATTTATAATCATTAATTTTGATTTCAATTAATGAATCATCTGGATTTGAACAAAATGTTGATCTATTTTACGGGCGGCTTTGTCGCGTTAGATAATCTTTCATCACGCTGTTTAGTAAAACACACTTGATCGTTATGTCCGGGTTTGTTACAGTATGAGCAAGTAGTAACAGGTTTTGCAACAGAGTTCTCATTAGAAGATTGAAGTGGTTTATTGGGCTCGCGTTTTTTCTGATTACGCAACAACGCACAATGACGCATTAAATGACCGGGTTTATCACAATGATGACAACGTCTTTCAGCTGGCTTGTCATAAGAATTTATTTGTTTTGGCTGTGACACATCACATTGAACGCGGAGGTTATTATCAGAGAACCTCTTTATATTTTTAATTTTGGGATACGTACTCAAGTGACGGTCAAATGTAATAAAATCAATAGGAGTATTTTTAAGTAACTGTGATCGTACCTGGTAGTCGGTTATGCCCGAGATGACAACTTCAATCTTATTTTGTTCAATCCAACCGCTCTCAAGCCTATCAATCATAGCTAATTTATTGGTAGAATATTCTACGTATGTAATCGCTTGATCACTAGTATAGTTTACCATGTCACGGAACAAATCATGGAACCGTTTTGTAGCCGCAAACTGCCGTGTAAGTCGCTCCTTAAGATCCTCCCATGTTTTACATAGAGGATAAGAATGGGTTGCTCACTTCTTCGCACGTCCTTGTAAATGCGTGAACGCGGCGTTTCTAGTCTCATAGTCCGACCAAGAATTATTATTACGATGCTGTTCAATTTCCACACACCATTGTAGTTTGCGCTGCGTAAACTGAGCACCACTTGATGAGGACGCCGCCATCATATTTTTGAGGAAAGTCACCCATACATCCTGCTGAGGCGGTGCCGGCGGAGGCGGCATCTTCTCAGCGGCGGGAGGAACGCCCCGGTGCGCCGCAAACTCCGCCGTGAAATATCCCTCTGTCTGCGCGGCCGATGCTGCGGGAGGCTCGCCGGAAACAAATGGGAGCGATGCTGCGGGAGGCTCGCCGGAAACAGATGGGAGCAATCCCACCGCTGCTGTCGTGGATGATTTTGGATTTGGTTCGCCATCAGTCGTCTCGTTGTCGGCCATATTGTTAGCTAGGAAAAGTCAGCACGCACAACTGGCGCAGGCGAAGATTCACGTAGAAGTGATCGACGCACCACTGACATTTCAATAGATAAAACCATAGAGTCATAGACAACCATTTTCATAGTTTCTTTCTAGACCACAGACTAAGGCCATAGACTAAAACCATAGACTAATTCCACAGTCTAAGACCACAGACTAGGACTATAGACTAAGACCACACAGACTCCAAGTCCCGTGTGTCCCCCCATTGAATCAATCTCGTCAGACGAACGTGCCAATCACCTTCAATCTTGAGGCGACATGACACTCAACTGTCAATGTTACATTTGATAGATAACAATAATATTTACTTACAAGTTTAAATGATTCTCCGACATAGATATATTGTTTGACATGAGTTGGTGACACCACGAAAGTTTGAACATGAATTCGTATCGATGTTTTGTTTGACGGGTCTGCTATGTTAAATATACTATTACGTATACATATAAATATGTAATTATTATTAACTAACGGCCTGCTCCTGCTTCACATAGGTGTTCAGGTGGTATCAGTACTGTCAGTCATTTGTTTTGATAGCGACTGCCATGCCATTGGTAGTGTTACTATTTCCCGTATAATAAACTTTTCTATTTTTTTTCATAATACAAACTTAACGATAGTAAAATATTCATAATATTATATTCAGCGACCCATTTTTTTCTAATAGAAGTTAAATGCGATAACAAAGCTGTAGTGTGCATGTGTGTACGGCAAGATGGCTACACCAGATTCGATAGATGCACTTACAATAACTCGACAAAAACGGTTGATTAAGACTAAAAACAAGTGCAATTTATGAAAAAAGACCATGGTCTCACATAAGTTATGTGACGAAAAAAACATTTTAAATCTAGCTTTTGTTTCTTGACTGTCTCCTTAGTCGACTGAATAATCAATACCCTGAATGACATCTTGTAAACCACTCAAATTTATTGGTTTCAAACAGTATTACCAATTATATATCATCGCTATGAAGCAATAAATTATTAAAAAATACCCTTTATAATTCCAATAAGAGATTAAGTATATTTTTTTTCCAAAAAAAAAAACAATCTAAAGATACACTTTTAAGACGATCAAAAACGAAATTTCTGAACAGTTCTTTAATCCGGAGACGTCTTATAATGGATTTGAGAAATAAATCCTTTGTAAAAAATATCTAGTACAATTTGTAGCTTCATCAGGTCGGCTGTAAACATCAACAGATTAATCTTATTAATCTCGTCTCCTCTCCAATTTTGTTAGGGGCTTAAAACTGATGAGATGAAACACGTGATCTGCGCCATGTAAGCAAACTTAACGTTATGAGCCTTTAATATGTAGGTATATGCCTACAACCTACATACACAATCAACCGGTCGTGGCTTTGCCTGTTGAAATATATATTGTTAATTGGATTTAAAAACCAATATTACTGCTTAATAGATTTTTTTATGGAATTGGTCGACAATCGAGCAGGTACCCGTGGCAAGCTATTGGCGCTGCCTAGGGACAATGATGCCATAGGAGTTACTAGAAGTGGGTTTCCGAACTTTTGTGGGTTATAAGGGATTTCGGGTTAGGGGATTTCGGGATTGAGGATGGGGGAAAGGTTAGCTCTGGTAACCTCACTCATACGGCAAAACACAACGTAAGTGTTATTTCACGCCGGCATTCTGTGAGGTCGTAGTATTACTCCAGTCGAAATAGTAAAGAGATGGTCCAAAGTGTTTAAAGTATTTCAAACTAGCAGTCAGCCGATATCTGACTATCTCGGTGTCAATCATTGTTTTGTTTGCACCGAAGTGTTAATATCTTGTGTACTTCTAACTAATATTATAAATGCTAAAGTTACGATTATTTTTGGATGTTTGTTACTCAATCACGCCAAAACGGCTGGACGGTTTGAAATGAAATTTGGCACAGATATAGGATACACTCCTGAATAGGACATAGGTTAATTTTTATCAACATACCACGTGGGCGATGCCGTGGGCAGAAGCTAGTTTTCCAATATACCTTAGCACCAAAATGGTAATTATTGCCGATTCTCTCTGTACTTTTCTATATGAACCTTGTCTTGTTATTAGCCAACACATCATAAAAGGAGTTATCGGATTCGGTGTAGCTATTTACGCGTGGTTTTATAAGCAAGGGATGTTTTTCTCTTTATTAAAACCAAGGGAAATTGGGATTTACTTTTACTGCACCATACTGTGCTATTACTGAGCCTTTGTTTTTTTATTCAGCAGTTAAAATGATGATACTTAATTAAAATAGTAAGTTCTAGTTCATTGAAATGGGACATCAGCCGGCAATTATCCCTGTATGCACTATAAAAGTGCACCCAAGGATAATCCCCGGTTGATGCAGGACTACTGCAATATGTGGTAATCATTGAAAGGGTTATGGGTATGGGTTGCTATGGACTAGTGGATATGACAATATGATAGTAGGTTTATTCTTATCGTAGGTACACAGGTATTTATTTTTTATTGTAGTTTTTGTTAGATGTAAGAAATTTTAAAAGTCATTTAGTTATTAATTTGTTTTTACTGACAATTTTATTCAAAATATATTGTCCTTACTTGTTAGAAGCGTTTTTACGCTTGCTATAAAGCACATAATAAAGAAAATTGTTGGTTTTCAAATAAAGCAACCAATATTTACTCATTGCAACATTAGCATACGAGACATGTAGGCAGGTAAAATATGTAAGATATAAAAGAAAACAAAAAAATTCTACATATACTATTTCTACATACCTGCTGATAAAACTGTGTTTCTTCGCCTTCAGGCCGGACTCCTAGAGCCAGGCCGATGTAAGCCAACGTGAGAACAGCTGACATTGCCAGGGCAATCGGCCGAGCTATGGGCATCATTGTATGCACCATCTGTGGAACCAAAAGAAAGACTTAGTTATAACATTGTTTTATTTGAGTAACAAGTTCGTGTGGGAGAGCCAAGTGTCGGCACGCATGGGTCGGCTCAACCAGAGTGATATAGTATAGTGAGTGAGGCTTAAAAAAACTGAAGTGAAAAATCTACAGGTTAATAAAGACCCAATCATTCCTCTCCGCCCCAATCATTAAACATACACAAACTAATAATTTTGTGTAGTGGGTGTTCATTGCCGGTGCCGATTGCTTGCCATCCGTCTGCGCTGTCAAAACAAAATCATTGATAAAAGCTCATAAAGAAAATCTAGAAAAAAAATCACGTGTCGTAGGCGTGTTGAAGAGTTGAAGATCGCAGTTAAAACAGCTCTGGTTGACGGGAGATCTCTGCTGCCTGAATTATCTAAAATGTCTCTCTTGATGACTATCACACCAACACGAAGAGTTGAGATGGTAAAAGTAGACGTACATTCTACATAGCCTTAACCAACCACACAGCTTAAAATACAACACCAAAATTAAATCAGGAATTCAAAGGCCAACAATATTCCAATTTAAAAACTTAATACAGGTTAACGAAACTTAAATAGAAAGAAACCTAAATAAATACAATTTTAATCTTGAATAGAAACTGTCAGCGGACCCAATCTTTTAATCTAGTTGGACAAAGAATAAAAAGCGATTGTGACTGCTCGTCTGGTGATAACCGGAGCGAGAGCGATTTTGAATGGCATGGTAAACATCAGCCAGGTTTGCGGGGAACGCAATTATACATCGCGGCTTCGGCCTGGAGTAGGAGAAGAAACGAATGCGATGGTTTTTGGTCAGTAAGAATCTGAAACTCTCTCTTGCTCCGCCCAGGACAATTATCATGATCGACAATTTATCCCAACAAAAAACAAACAACCTTAGCGTTGTGTTTCATCGAGTCGAGTTAGGTTAGCGAAGCCCAATCCTCCCCCTCGATATATCTCTAATTCTTAAACCCCCAATCTTCCAACCACTAAACCCCAAAAGACCGAAAACACACTTGATGACACATGTAATGTGGGGTAAGTGGCGACGTCGATTTAGATCCGCTACATAGTTATAATTGTTTGAACTAGTACCATTGTTCAGTATTATTACAGTTACTGCCGTCCACTTTTGTTTTTATTTAACTAGTTTACAGCAGTTCTATAAAGATTTTTTTAATCGTTAATTTCCACTGCTGCTCGAATGTGATTTGTGTAGTATATAACCAATCGTCACATATATTTATTTATTTATTTACAACACTTATTATATCTCTTGCCAATCATCGTGCAATTAAATAAGTATTCTTATTCAAATATTCCTCATTATCATCAGTCTAAAAATGTTTAGCTAAGACCTCTTCTCACACGGAGAGGATTTGAGCATTAATTACCACTCCTGCTCCAGGCAGCGATTTCAAACTTATGTATAATAAGGAATCATAAGGCTAGTTTTCCTTACGATGTTATTCGCCTTCGCCGCATGTCAGTGGTGGTATCACCCTCGTGTGTGAAAAACGGGCGCTTAACCTCCGGGCTACCACCTCATTCAGATACTAAATAATTCCAATAAGTTTCTATTAGTCCGATATATGGTAGTACTCATACATTATTTTATAAATTGACCTATTCTGTTATTAACTTAATTGTTTTAAGGATTATCAGCTAATTATTATACCCTGGATTTTATTATAAAACGTTCCCCAACAGCATTAACGGATTAAAAAGTTATGAGTGGTTTTGAAACTGTTTGAGGCTTTGTTACTTAGCCGCTCTGATTTTAATAGTTACTATGTACGTCGGTATTTTAAATACCATACATTATTTGAGTGTCGGTTTGTAAACTAATATTAACAATCTAAACAGTACTACCTCCTTCTAAGTAAGCCCGGAATAAATATCTCGAAAATGTAAATACTTTTGGAAGTGGAGCCTTTTTTGTGTCATTCTCTTACTGACTGAAAGCCATTTCGTTCTTCCTCTTGCTGCGACCTGACCCCTGTACATCTTCGCACTTACGTCTTCTAACCCTTGGGAAGAATTGGGCTTTTAAGACCTCAATCACACGGCAAAACGCTACGCTGTGGGTGCTTCTGTGTAGCCTAGTATCACTCCAGTCGAGCCGGTGCATTGCCCATTTATGCCTAAGTATAGCTAAATATAATCAAAACGCAATAATCCATTTCCAAAAACGCATACATTTCGTCCATAATTTCTTTACGCAGTGATTCATGCGAGAATTTCATATCATAATGGTTTCTAGCGCAACACGTGTGGATTGCATCCATGATAGGTCTGAGGTTAAATCATGTTGGCGTGGGGTGTAAACACATGGTGCACGCAATGAAGGCGAGGATGTGTCAAGGGAAACATAAGCACGCTTATACTATGCACTTGTGGCAATTGTGACGTCATAACATTGTCATAGATGGAAGCACACGTGTTGTATTCGTAATAATAATATGTTTTTATTTGATCCATATATTGTCTTATATCTACAGTGGGTTCTATTGTTTGTATCAAAGATGTAGTATAATTCATCATCATCATCATCATCAGCCTAATTTCCTCCACTCCACACACCACACATATGCCTCCCCAATACTTACACTTACAAATACTTAATAGTCATAGTTAATAGGCAGATGGTCTATTGGTATTCAAGTAGCTTACAAGATATAATTCAATTAAAGAAAAAAATATATTCTTCAATTTAATAGCCTCATAAAGTCCATCCGTGTGATCCAGGCCCTCTGAACTGGCATGGCAAATTGAATTTCGCACGACGCATTCGTTTTTCTCTTAAGGCCGTTGTTAGATAAATTGCATCGGTCTGTGATTGTGGCAGCACTGGAGTGGGGGGCTCGTGTGGTCCAGCCTCCACGACTTTTATTTCAAATGTCGTGACCGTAATGCTTCCAATACGTTTTGAGGTTTTATTAGTTTAGTGCATAAGTGCTGAACACTGTTTTAATTCGTTTTGAAGGATATAATTCGATTTCTGTTTTAATGCTTTCTGGCAGTGGTTGGTTCTACGATGTATTATTTGTTTGGTTCGGGTTTCTTAAGTCATAGTTCTTCGATTGACTACTATTTTTTTCAAAGAAGAATACCATTTTCTGTGCCCATATTAATTTATCCTGGGTTTTGTTCGTGGACACGAACTCCCAGTTTAAGAAAGGAAGAATTGCAGAACACTAGCCTCTTGGAAGTCAAATACAAAGAAAACAGATGAATGTCAATTTAGAATACCCGTTTGCGTTTTGATAGAACGGACACAAAATATACAAAGTAAAATGAATTAAGAAAATACTCCTCGCCAATAACTTCATAACGAAGAAAGACGACAAACTGACGAAGAAAATGAATTCACCAAAATGGACAAACGTAAACTTCCTCAAAAATTAACATAACAAACCCTGAATTTACAAACCTTTGAGCGGGGAAGACGAAAATTGTACCGACACTTGAAAATCTCCAGGTTTTATTAAACTGGACGGTGAATGAGGTTAAATAAGAGTTAAAATATGTTAATTTAACCCTATTATGCGAAGTCGGTTACGGTGGACGGTAAACTTGGGCAGATGTAGAGATAAATAAAACTTAATAAGGTGAACTAGGCAAAGGAAGTTTAATAAAGTTAGGTGATGTTTCTTTCTCATGATCAAAGTGATACCTTGATGTCACAGTAATCCGTTTTGCCGTGTTATGCTGATGAAACGAATTTCGTCAACAGGTTCAAAATCTGATTTCATCACTTCTCCTTTTTTATGAATAAACAGTGTCTGTATATATTATTTACGATATGATGTGTTTCAAGCAACAAAGTTTTTAAATTTCTTAATCGGAATATTATCAGCAATTGTTAATATATGTACATATAAAAAACCTTATGTAGGTAGGTCTGAAGTGTTGAATTTTTCTCAATTTTTAGGGGAGGTATTGTCAAGTGTGACAGAGCTATACTTCGACCCAAGTTGACTTATTCGTGCCAAACGGCCTTACAAAAAAGCGAAACAATGTTCGAGTTTAGTTTTACCCTATACATGAGGTTACTGGAGACCCAATCATCCCACACCGATCCCTTATCCCTAAATCACCAATCCTAAATCTCTAACCCCCAAAGGTCGGCAACGTAACGGCTTTACTATTGCTACCGCAGCCTCGGACTGAAGCAGGAGAAGAAACAGGGTGGTTTGTACTCAGTAAGAGTCCGACATTTCTTCTTGCCTCGCCCGGAACGATAAAAATCCTTTGCTGATTATCCCAGCTAAAAAAATATATCCATTAAGTACATCTATCGTGTAAAATCTAAATTTTAATAAATGAACTTGGTGACAGAGGCTGTCTTCAAGCCATATCGATCACTACCGTTGATGGGAACTTCAAATTAATTATGCCTCGTCACGACATGGGGTAGGCAGAACTCAAGGTAAACCATGGCGAGGATTAATGGATGTGCCAAGATACGCAAAATACTGCTAAGGGTATTTAAGGGCGAATAACAGTCATGTAATTGGGAAATTGTGTCTAGCTGCCTCTTTGTTACTTCATTGCACGATTGTTTTTTCTTTGGCAGGACGGCAAACGCGCAGACTATTTACCTGAGGGTAAGCAATCAGCGCTACCCATGGACATCCGCAACAACAGAAGAGTAACGAGTACGTTGCTATTCATTAGAGGATTAGGAGATTAAGGTATAGGGAGGGATAGGGAGAGGCAGAGAAGTAGACGACCGGTAACCTCACTGACACGGCGAAACTGTGAAAAGTGTCTTGGGCTTAAGCCCCTCAGGAATAAGCATATGGGGCAAAGCTTTTTATGACAATACCCAATAAAGGAAGTTACTCATAACTTAAACTGTACTTTAGCACCATTTCTGAAATAAGTGACATAATCAAGTAACCTCAAAATGTCTCTGAGCACGATAAAATTGGTTTGGCAAAGTGTAGAAAATGTGAAAGTTAGAACACGAGAAATAAACCATACCCAAATATTACACATTGTACATTTTTTCTATAAACAAAACCAAATCCAAATAAACAAAACCTAATTAATATTTAATGCAGCACTCTTTTGGCTTCATTACTCATGGAATCTTTGTGACCCTGTTAATTATTTCGCAAAACCGTGACTCTTAAAAAGTACAACCCGATATTTTTTTTATGTGAACCTTTATTTTAGTCTCTTTATCCAACCTAAAAAATAAACACAAGTCTAAGCATCCTGTACCCTTACAAGTACACACTTAACTATCTTGTCCACAAACTTAATATACATAATTTCCTGGGGCCGTTCCACTACACAGGATGTAGCAAGACTTATTCAAACAGGGTGCTTGTTAGACCCACGTGTGTTTTAGTTAAGGTGAGGTTGGTAAAATAAACTAACCACTTGCTTTGTTGCTAAGCCGACGGTTCTCCAGTTAATCTCTAGGGATAAGTTTCACCGGGTGTTAGGTATACGCTTACCGAACTATATGAAAACATTTCCTTTGTTATTGTATGTTAAACTTAATAAAACATTACCGATGGTCTAATTTTCTTTGAATGATTTATAGTTACAAGTTTGAAATTCGTTTCAATTGATTCGCATTTGTTTATGTATCAATTTTCTCTGAAATCAAGTTAAGTAGGTATGTAGAAAAGTGCAAGAAAAATAAAATAAAACAATAATTTTATTTGCAAAATTAACACCTTCATCGTGGTCGTCTACCTATTGGAAGTCTCCAATGTTCAGAAAAGGCTTCTTTTCTGTTAGTTGATACGAGCATTCACCATGCTTACTCAAGGCGGATTGGCGATTTCTATAAGCCTACGTTTCCTTACGATGTTTTCCTTCGCCTTTTGGCAGTGGTGTCTGAATAATCTTAATAAGTAGGTACATATAACACGGATTGAATAATAATACTTTAATAATTCTGATAAATTAATGACCTAAAAAGTATGGTATTTGTTGAAACTAAGAGATAGTTAAAACATTTTTGGTGAATTTGTCCGACTAACAAAATTATAATTTTTAACAAATTATGCAATTCGTTGATTTCTTACCTAATTAAAACTTTTGACAACATTGTTGTCATTTTGGATTTAATAAAATTTGCCTAATAAGTAACTATTACATATTACATAATATTAAAAACAAAAATATTAATTTATCAAATTGTAAAAAAGCAACTATTAAAATAGGAACAGTTTACATTTTTAATATGATACCTATATAAAACAATACTTTTGGCGTATCTTCAATTAAAATACTCTAAGTAAAAATCCAAACACCATTTTTAAAGTTATACCTAAAAGATAACGATTATAGATAAGATAAGGGACTACAAATCTTTTAATTATGTTGGCAAGCTAAACTTTACAGATTTTAATTAAGATCAACTTTCCCGAGGTTCATTGTCGAACCCGAATCTATAAGTATCAAGACTATCAACAATATATTCATATTACCTATCAGTCAGAAGAAGACCGTAGGCCTGTTCCTGAGCATAGGCCTTCTATAATGATTGTCCGATTGGCCGCTCAACACTAGAGTGCGTCTAGCGTCCAGAGCCACCTTGTGACCTTTATTAGGTAAGTGTCTTGTTCACCTTATTATTAGAAGCCCTGCATTAAAAAGTATAGTGCACTCAAAATTTGACAAAACGTGACGTCACAATACGGTGACTTTTATTAGCAGCGTGACTGTCAGTCGACCTTCCATTACTATGGGAGTCTGTTCACTTGTGACTTTTTTGTTTGGATTTTCTTTTTTTCAAATTTCATTAAAGTCTTTTTCACAAATGCGTGCAATTTGTCCCTCACAAAAGCTTCTGTCGACTGGGACCACAAAATCCTGGACCGCAGTCCCGGTAAAAAATTAAATAATTTTCTACCGGTGAGTGGGACAAATAGTTTCAGTAAGCACATCGGGACATTAAGTGACAGTAACAAAAGCCACGATCAGCGATGGACTTAACTTTCGAAACTTTTTATATATTTATAATATTCTGTTGTATAAGGTAATAAGAATGAAGTTTAATTTTATCGATTCAACAGTTTCCATATATTTTTCCTTGATAGTTTGAATGAAAATCCTTGCCGCGAAATTGCTATTACCTCATAAAATAGCCAAAATGATTTAGAACTTCTTACTGTATTAGTAGTTTACTTGACACTACTAAACGTGCGGTGTATCAGTCACGATGTTCTCGAAAATGACCAATCAATGGAGGCTGTGCATTCTGTTCAAGCAACAGCGGAAGTAAAGCGACTCTGCGATAAGCTGACTTTATTGAATTTTCGACAGAATTCATTAACTGTCCAAATATTCCCGAGGAAGGTTATAACTAAAAGCCTTTACAGTGAATTTAAATTTTCCTTATTATTATTTTAGGATTGCCCTTTGACTTCCAATTTGGTTCAGGAGTCTTGAATTCGGTCCCTGAATCCAGATAAGTGTTTTTGTGTGGTTTAAATGCGAAATACTCTGATTAACATTGATATATTAGATAGGAAAAGAAGTCCACCTAACCAAATCGGACTGACTGCTAACCAGTGTAAGAAAATTTAGGTTACAATAAGAGAGGATCTGCGGACGGCAAGCTAGGGTAGGTCGTCCCTCACTAGACCTAGACTCGAGTGTACAGCGCTCAAAGAGGCACTAGACCACCATAGATAGTGCCCACGAGGGCAGTAATAATGTATTGTGGCCCCGGCCCGGAACAAGAGAAGCAACGAGGTGGTTTTTAGTCAGCCAGAATCTGATACGCCATCTCGCACCGCACAGAGCATAAGAAGCGATATATATATTATATGATGATGTTCACCAAAAACGCCAATATAAAATTTGAAAACAAAAATCCCTGAGTAATTTCAATAATCGAAGAACACTATAATATTTCTAAAACCTATTCTTTTTTTAGATTATACACAACTCTTAATATTTAGCAGAAAAAATAAATAAAACATTTAAAGGCAAATCGAAAACCAATATCAATCACAATCACAATAACAGTTTTCATACACATTTATTGTCTAGCTGCAGCACATAAAATGAATTACTAAAGAACAAAGAAGTCCAAAGAAAGTGTTCCATATAGCTATGTCTAAATAAAAGACAACAATGTCTATTTCGAAGAAGCAGCTAGCCTTATGTCATCAAATATTTAAGAAAACATTGCAAAGCTCTAAGAGGTTGTTCCTATAAACTTGGATGGCACCTGGGTGGGCGATAATCTGACGTTTGAACGTCGTCTGGCACATTCCTTAATACTTCAGAAGTAGCTTCTAGTTGCTGTAATGTGTTATGGTTGTAGCATTTACATTTTTGATGTAATAGGTTGCATATGGTCATTCGAAGAGCACTTTCAGAGGTGCCTAAGAATTTTACGAATAATTCAGAGCAATTTTGCACACGTTCAAAAACAAGAATATTAGCAATGTACAACAAACACGCGACGTCCCGCGTCTTCGTAAATGATGCCCATGATTAAGAAGCCCACTGTATAAGAAGAATATTCACATAGGTACGACATTTGGTTAGTGTTTTTTTTAAATAACGTTGCCCCAAAGGATTTTCTTCTGTGTTGTGGGTGCGTTTACAAACAATTTCACATGCACATGACAAGACACCCAGACCCGGAACAACAATTTGTGGATCACAAAAAGAGTTATTTCGTGCGAGAATCAAACCTGCGACACGTTGCACGGTAGTCAGTTGCCCAGCCACTACACCAACCGTGCAAATTACAAATTGATACATAAATAAAGACACCAAAACGCCCAAAGATAAAATGAATTAAAAAATCTTACCAAGATTAGTGCGAAGAGTGGCAGCGGTGCATGATGTGTGGCCATCAGCGTTCCAGCGCCTAGGCTCACAGTGACCAGTAGAGAGCCAGCTAACGCCAGGGCTTCCCATTCTGGAGCAGCCGGCAGCAACGCGAGGCACAACACTATCGACAACACGAATGTTATAACCGATAGTGATGCGATCGCTTTTGTTTGCATGTATAGTTCCTGGAACAAAAAGAAAATTTGTCTTATTTTTTTATAATCGCATCTATCGATTCGTGGAAAGTTCAGAAGCTTGGAGTTGGACAAAGTGATATGTCATTCACATCACATCATCAGCCTATAAGTACTCACTGATGTGCAAAGGTCCTCTTCCAATACAACTTTTGCATTAATTACCAGCACGTCGATTCTATAAAATTTGTTTGATTTTGAATCTTGTTCGAGTCCGAAGTGAGCGTCGAAGTGACGGGGAAATAAAATTTTAGAATGTAACTTTTAACGTCATCTCATACTTTATCTATCAAAATGTTGCTGTCAATTTACTATAGTTCAACTCGCAAGTGTAGCGCTAGAGTACTACTACTCACGGCGGATTCAGATTCGAAGCTTAGAATGAATTCTTACAGAATCACACAACAGGTTTGCTCAAGGTGGATTGGGGTATCAAACTCATAATTAGGAATTATCTATACTAACTTTTTTAGGAAATATCTTATTATGATACCAAATTTCCTTATATGTTTTCCCTCACCGTATGTCAGTAGTGTCTAGATAATCATAGAAATAAATGTAACTCTGAAAATGTCACATTGGTACTTTTCAGGTTTCCTCCGGGCTACAACGACTTGTTGATAAATTTTGGAAATTATAATCTTTGCAAAGGTATATCTTGAAACGTAACAGCAGTTTGACATAGCATGGCGTAATTTCAAACCCTCTTGTATCTTTATAGTTTCATATCTTTTGCCAATGTGTCGCTAAGTGCAAATTCCGTAAGCAATAAAACCAATTTTGTTACCTTTTTTTCAAATATTCAATGAAGACCAAGGAACATTTTTAGTAAGGAAAATATAGAGATATTTCTCGGCAGAAAAACAGAAATATTTTTATCAAACTTGCAATACTAAGAGTACTATAATAATCAAACAAGAAGGATTAGTAATTAGATCAATGAATTTAAACAAACGTTAAAGATCACGTTTCACATTGAACAGATACAAGCAGATCAACCAATACCTTTCTGTAAATTCACGTTATCAGATTTTCAACTTTATACTTTTGATGTAAAGTAAAAAGTCTTATGAGAATGGTAGGTTACTGTACGAAAGGGTCCAGTCCAAATGAAGCTAATAACTATTTGAGTCAGTCCACAGATGTCGGGAACCACATTTCAGAACTTGACGTGAACAACCCTAGCGACTTTATTGGGCAGTCCGGGATTACGGTTAGTAGTGTTGTAACCATGGCGGGATTTAAGTATTATTTTTATAAGCGACCAGGGAGCAACTAGTGTTGTTTTGTTTTCCTTATGACAATTTTATTTCGCACGTTGTTTTGCTGCAGTACTTAGCTCGTGTTTACTCGCGATGAAAAATAGTATAAACGTTTGAAATGAAATGCATATGCAAACTACATTTACCTTCTTTTCTTTTTTATAAAAAACTTTGCCCCACTTTAGGATTTTCTCCTGTGTTGTGGGTGCGTTTACAAACATACAATGTCCCATACACCCAGACCCGAAAAAAACAATTGTGGATCACACAAAGTGTTGATCCGTGCGGGAATCGAACCCGCGACACGTTGCATCCTTCAAAATGGTAAGTTGGATTTTATTTTATTTTTGCGGTTTTTGGAGGTGGATAGTAGTTGCAATTATGTTTAATGAGAAAAAGCACCGAGTTGATACAATAAGTAACATTGTAAAAATGGTTATAACAAACATGTACCCATTTATAATCACGACATCAGCTTCAAGTAGTGTCCTTTTAATAAAATCTCCATAATTAATGTCTTAAAACAGAATATTCTTTAGTGAAATTCTGGCAGCTTTGTGCTAAATAATCGCAGCCACTATTTGTGGCGAGCCAGTTCCGTCAACCAAAATGAAAATATAATGAGTGCATTCTGGGTTGCAAACAATAAAAGAGCGAGAGTATTTTTTAATTAATTGAGACCAGTGGTAACAGGTTACAGAGCTGTGAATTTCTTTTAGACTATACTAGAATAAAATTGATAATTTATCAGTCCACTGAGAAATCGAACATATTTTGTCTCTTTTATCTCTTTCTAAAATGTTGCCCTAAATTAAGTTTTTCTCTTTTGTTATAGCACGTTCCGTTTCCAAACATTCAATGTTGTTTTGTCTGGAAATCCCACAGGTTGCTTAGTCATGGCGACAATAGTGTGCATTCATTCATTCATTGATAAAAGAAAATAATATTTTAGTGATCTACATATTTTGTGTAGTGCGTTCGTCTTCTCGAAATGGTAAGTGAGCAAATACGTATAAGTGAGATGGTATTGATTCCCCGCTTGCAAAATGTAGTTAGCCATAGATTCAGCTTTGTCGTTGTCAGTAGTCATTTCAATTTTCTATTTCTGTTTAAAGGTAAAATTAACGAACTTGCAGTAAATAATTTCTTATTACAAGAAATTACTAAGACACAATACCTCAGCTAGAATAAGAATTAAACGGCCATCCTGTTCTTTTTGAATCAAGTCTCAAGTTCTCCAAAAAAAAGTTATATTCCAATAAGCAAGTAAAACGTTATCCAAGGATTATGTTGAAGTAATACCACTGGGATCACGCGGGTGCACCTCAAGGCATGGATACAGTGTAAAACAAAAATGACAATACCTTAATTACTTTTGTAAAACGAGAAAAGAAAAATGTAATTTCAAAATTACTTTTTTTAATCTCTGTGAATGTTTTAATGTATGTTTTTTTTTTGTTCGTTTTTTTGTCTGTTTCTTACTGCCGCCTGAACTGTTTAAGCCGGAAACCGGTATTTTTTATTGCAAAAATTCTATTTACTCCGTTTTACCATATTTATGTAATAAACAGAAAGAAGGCATCCTTTTAAAATAATTTGTATGACTTATAAATGCAAAAAGTTTTGTATCTTTCTTATTCTAATAATATGCAAACACTACTAAACGGATTTGAACGAAATTTGGCACAGAAATAGGTTGTATACATAAAATTAACAAATGAGATGAGCAACGTAACTGAAGCCAAGCTTTAATGAGATATGCCCGCTACTTCAGAACCTAATGAAAAAAGAAGCTGTAACTTCTGTAGGCCAAGATCTACAGTAGACACAACCTGAAAAACATCGACAGATGTTGTTCCATAGACCTGATTAAAGGTCCTACCAAAAACCAAATAAAACAGGGTGGAGTTGTTGGCAAAAGTTAGATTTATAATAAGCATAATATAATACTACAGTTTGAGTAAAAAGAAGTGAAGAGAGAATAAGTATTTTCCCGAACAATTTTGTAATTAGCTTGTTTTCAATTAGCTAGAAATAAAACGGTTTTTTATTTAATATCAATAATGCTAACATCAAATTAATAATTATTTACTCGCGATATTATTCCCTAAAGAGTTTATTCGTGCTTAAATATTTATTTACAAAATCCTAATCAAATATTACAAAAACAAAGGCTATGTTTACGTGTGAGAGTTATATGAAAAACATCTAACATTTTTACCCTTTAACAAAAAGTGGGAACGTATATGAATTTAAGGGTTAATTATGTTGTGAAATGGTCTAGCGAATTATTTAAGTATATTTAAATGTCTGTGACTGTTTTAAAAAGGTTTTTGTAATTGTTTTCATGAAGCGTGACTCTTTTGACCTTGACCTTTACCATCATATTAACCAAAAGGCATCTGACTGAAATTACGGAATTATAGGAATAAAAAAAACTATTTTCACATCCAAAGGTCTAAGACTAACATGACTGGAACATTTAAAAATGCAACACTTTTAAGTACTATCTGTGTAGAAATATCGCTACGCACAGAACTTAAGCGGCTACGGAGCTACGAGCGTAGGCGTCTACGCAAAAATTTTAAGGTGGAGTTTGACTTTCGTAGCACTTTTTTGACGACATTGATATTACAATGCTTGAGTCCCTGTTCTCAGTATTCATATTATTATGCTGATTTTGTGTCCGGTATAAGGTAGTAGACATATTTGCTATGAAGTTAGGACCTAGATGTTACGTGACTTTGCCCCAGTTATAAAAGACTTACATATGTATATATGAGCAAACAAAAACGGTATGGTATTACTCAAGGTCAATTCTATTTTCTCTGTTACGAACTTCAATACAATTGGCTTAGTAGGTTTAAGGTAACAAGAACGTGGTTAGGATACTAAGAAGTCAAATTGAACAATTTCTTCGAAACGACAAAACGATAATATGTATGAATTTTGAATGAATTAGCAAGATGTCACGACATTACTTTTTAGCGTCTACTACTTATTTCTGTTAATAAGAAATATTCAGAAAAAAATACTTTTGTTGTTTTTACTGTTAATGCGATTACTTGTAAGTAGATTAATGTTTTAAAAAGTTGAGATAATTTATTTTTGACCTAATTATAACACAATATTAGTTGTTTATTTTCCACCACGTGTCACTACTGTGTGCCGGGTAACAGTCATGATCCTTTCCCCTATGTAGTCTCACCATTTTACGTGAATACGCAGAAACTACTAAACAAATCTTAACGAAATTGGCACAGAAATAGGTTGTAGACAGAACTCACAATTTAGAAGAGAAACGTAGCCAAAGCTACGTTTTAATTCGATATACTCGCTACAACCTCAAGAAAACCGCTGCAACTTCTGTAAGCCAAGATCTACAGTAGACACAACCTGAAAAACATCGAAAGATATTGTTCCTTTTTATTTTACGTGAAATATTTCAATTATTCTAAAAGATATAGGTAAGTGATTATTAAATAAACTTCTCCAGTATCTAATGTTCTGAAACGAAAAACAAGACAGTCATTACAAAAAAAAAAAAATCATGACCTCCTTGAAGGAACACCCCATCCCTAGCAATTAGTAGTCTCATCAAACGAAGACATGGCCACTACGGCTTGATTAGCAATAAACTTGCAGCTACACGATTTTATGCCTTATCTTCTACAGTATAAGGGTAATAATAACTTTTAATGGTATTCAAACGTCCAGGTTGAGTTTTAT